AGTACATGAGCTAATGTTTCAGGTTTATATCGAATTAAATAAAATAATATTTGCACACGATACCAATTAAAAGTTCGATTTTGAAATGTAGATGGAATAATTGATTTAGACCAATGGCCAAACTTAGCATTGATTGCAATTGTTTGATTACCATCAACTTTGGATGGAATTGAACAGTTAGTGATAGGAAGAAAAAAACAATCTGGTGTTGTTGAATTACAATCTCCATAAAGCTAAAATAAATAGAATCTATTATTAACAGTTAGTAGACATTTCAATAGCAACTTTTCGAACTTTTTTTTTTTGATAACCCACATTTTCATTTCAATGTTAATAAGAAAAAGGTAAGCATAAGGGTTCATTCTTCTAGTAGACTATATAAGTGGATAAAAGTTTGATTAGCATATTTAATATACTATTAAGAACTATATTCATAGTTCTGATCTGTTCAAGTAATCCGCTACAAATATATCACAGGATCTTGGTTAGATGCCCTGTTAAAATTGTTTGATAATGACACATGTCCAACCATCGGACGTCGTTGAGCTTTATATGATTGCTACGAGTGGGCACGAGTGAGACTAAGAAGAAGTTAAAAAAATTCGTGTCTATAGCCAACTGAAGAAGAATTATAGTCATTTTAGTAAGATTTTTACTAAGAGCAAAGCATTGCTAAAACAACTGCAACAAAAAGTTTCGAAATGCTATTTTTCTTATCGGCATCTTTGATGTTCTTATATAGCTCTGAAAGTTTCAACGAAAACGAACATATTGTTTTTCAAGATATTAGATTCTCTAGAAGACTCGATTATTGCGTCCATCTATCATAAACTGAAACATGCATATAGACAAGAGTTTAACTTGAAACTGTTCGTCTTAAATTTTTATCGTAAATATCTTGCTCCCAAGAACAGTGTCATGAAAACAACTATAACTCTCTATCAGTAAATCATGTACCAAAATCCTTTTAAGCTTGACTTAGTCTCCTGTAGACCTACTCGTAGCAGTAATATGAAATCGAATGGTGTCTGACTTCTGGATATGTTTCGTTGTCAGTAGATTGGGAAAGTACCCTAAATGCGATATTCGAGTAAATTTTTTCCTTGCTCATTCATATCTGATTTTATAGAGCTTGAACATTTTGTAAGCCTATCTAGTTTTTTGTGCCAAGATATTGCATAGGGATTGTATTTTCGTGAGAAAAATAATTTTCTAAAGCATATATGATACGATACAGATTTTTGACACTGATTTCAAATATGCTGCTCATTTACTTTCACAAGTGTATTATTGGCCATCGAAGAAGGAAAAAGTTCAATTTGCTAAGCTATAAAACAAAATTTGAAAAAGCTAAATAGGTGCTTTCATAGTTCACAATCTGGCGATTCGAAGGCTATATGACAATGATCGCTATTTCTTGTCATAAAAACTAGATAGATCTACAAAATTTTCAAGCTCTACCAAATCATATATAAATGAGCGAGGGAAAAACTCACTCGAATTTGGCATTTCCAGCACCTTAGTTACCAGATACCTGACTGGTTTCTATAGTATTCTAAGAATTTTACAACAAGTCAGTAGATTGAAAATTGAAAAATATTTTACAATCCATCACTAAAAACCCATGAAGCACCTTACGATTTTTCTGAAATGTGCATAGCAGGGAACTCTGAACTTAGTATATCTATTAAGACTTTGTGTCCAGATGTATTTTAATGATATCAATTTATTTTACCCAATTTCCTGGGATTTGATATACAGCAATTCTATTATCTGCTATTGCCGCACCAAACGCCCATGCAATTTGATGAACGGTTGATCCAAAACCAGACCAAGCATAATTTTGAATAATAACAAATCGTTTATTCGTACAATTAATTGGATGTTGATGTTCATAAAACCATTTTTGTGCCAATAATGTATTCTGTATTGAAAATTCATTTTTTGACGAATAATCACATGAATCAATGTTTTCTTTACGAGAATATTCGATAATACGACATGGTAAAATACGTGCTAGACGAAAATAATTTTCATCAG